CGCTGGGCTGCCCAGCGTGGTTTCCCAACTACAAGACATTTCTTGCTTCTGAAGGTCACATGTCAACCGAGCACAGAAGGTGGCAAAAGCAACGCTCGCTTTAAAAGGCAGCAAAACAATTACGCTCTTGTCATGTTCCACATGATAGTGTGAGAATTAACTGCAAAGCTTCCAGCATACCCCGCTGGGACGGACCTCTCACCACTCTTATCACAGGGTGTGTCCGTGTACCACAGCACAAGATGGGATCTACCAAAAAATGTTGGGGCTGTTCAGGAAGACCGTCAGTGCCCATCCAACAATAAGAAATCTGGACTGCAGAGAGGAATTTGGAATTGTGACTCAAGTAAGAAATGTTTCTCTGCTTCCTTCCTTTTTCTTTTTGTGAGTTGGCATCAGAGCTCCCCTGAAAAGACTAAAAGGAGAGGAGGGGTAACGTGGTGAGTTCTGACATACATACAGAGTCGGAAAGCGTGAACAACTTTCTCTGCAGACTTATGTAACTTTGCCGGTGGTGACACAACTCGCAGAAAGTGATTTGGGCACGGATAAGGGACATCCACTGACCTGTAAACAGAACTATTAAAATATGCCTTAAAATACCTAACATAAAGCAAAATTATATAATCACATTACCTCGCGTTTTAATACTGAAGCTACAAAGCTTGTAACGGAAGTAAACAGCTTCCTATTAATAAACCCCTCAACTTTACAATTACTCTGAACAACTGTCCCCAGCCCCGAGGCCAGCTTTTTCTGCTTTCTGTAGCAAATCCCTTCCGGCAGGTACACTGCAAGGAAATGCCTCCAAAAGCCCTTTGAAAAAGGCAGGTATAATAAAAGATGAAAATGCAAAGATGAGCAACACTCGTCCAAAATAAATATCAACACAAAACATGCTATAGCATTCGCAATGTTTAGTTCAAAGAAAAAAAAAATCAAACAATGTCAATTTTCAATTATGCTGATTAGACACAAACTGGATAATTAATAAACAGACTAATAATACAGGAAACATGGTATGTTTGAGATGGAATGACAAAAATATCTCGTACAAGAGACAATTTATAATCATCTTCCTAAAAAATTAAATACTTGCTCTGCCATAGCAAACAAACATGTTACGTTTTGCACATCAAAAAAATAATTAACCTGTTCATCGACTATATTGGTATTTTTCAGGAGAGGTTTCTTTTGAGTGATTTCTTTTTCTTTGGAATTTAATTTTACCTTGTGAGCTTTTTTTTTTTTTTTAAATTATTATTCCTTTCTGGTTTTTTTTTTCTTTTCTTTTCAAAGCTGCTGCCCGTTGCAGCACCCATACAGGTAAAGACCTCGGTTTGGTAGCCGCCCCCCCGGCAGGGAGGGGAGCAGCACTGCCAGCTCCCGCCTGGGCCCCGGTGCGGGCAGCAGGCAGAGCCTGAGGTGTGGCCGAGGCACGCCGTGGTGCTCCAAATACTCCCCGTCTCTACGTTGCCGCAGATAGCAGCTACCAGGCAGCACAAATTAGACGAGCCCAGGGACTGTCTCACGTTCCTCAAGGAACCGGATAGGTCCCTGGTCAGGTTCAAAACCAATTTGAAGTTTTTACTCATATCAACCATCAAACCAAAGCTGAACATCAAAGGCTGGGGACACACAAGCACTCGTAACAGTCTAATCCAGGGACGCACAGCACCCTTTTCCACACCATAAACAGTCTGAGACACTTACTCCACCTCCCCCTCCCCACGCTACTGCCACAGAAGGTCGTACATCAGTTTTGGCCAACACGCTTTGATGCTGCCAGATTCCCAAAACGCTTCTGAGCAGGTTAATCATTTGGGGAGACGAGCTGAGGATTACCGAGCCTTGCGAAAAGATCCTATCATCATCGCAGCTCAGAGATCCTAAAACGCCCACCGCAACTGGAAGTGCTGCTGCACTTCTCCAGTCTTCCCAGAGGAATACTGGCAAGGGAGCAAAGGGTTCTATTTCAGCA